GACTTGGAAGAGAATAGATGAAGAGGTAAATGCTATTGGTTTTGACTTTAAACTTATGCTTTAAAAAAAATTTCCACCTTTTGTGACTGGAAAAGTGGTTAAATAATGTCTCTACGGAGGATGTGAAATTTGCGTCTTTCTTTTATTATGATTAGCATATGATGCAAGACCCTGATGTGCAAATCCAGGAACTTAAATTTAAATCACTATTGTATTTGGGATTTGAAAGTGTTTGTGAAAGGTCATTTTACTTTAAAAAATCACTATTTTATCTGGGATTTGAAAGTGTTCATGAACAGTCATTTTACTTTCAACTTCAACAGTATGTATTTTGCTACTTGGGCCACACTGTAAAAATAAAAAAGGGTTGGAGATAAATAGGCGACTAAGAAGCAGGTTGGAGTATTTCCGAGCCTTTTTCATATTTATTGGAAATTAGTGCTAGCTATCGGCAAGTGTTTGCTCCAATGACGTACTTTTTATGATATGCCATTTGACTTTAAAATTTCGTTTCAAATGTTTTCATGTGATTTAACAATCACGTACAAGGTTTATCTCAGTTGATCGCTGCAGTTCGTAAGAACCAAACTCAGTTAATGTTCTGTTCTAAATTCCAAAAGGCTCTGATTTTTGTTAAAACAAATGTCACGTTTTGTGCAGATCGAAGCAACTGTGATGCCAGATGAATACAGATACAAGAAGGTGACTGTAAATTTACGGTTACCTTTATTTTTTATTTTTTATTTCCTTCTTTGTTACTGTCACTGAAAAATGTAAAACCATTCTTCAGGTGTGGATTCTTTGCAACGACTGTAACGATACTACGGAAGTTTATTTCCACATAATCGGTCAGAAATGCAGCCATTGCGGATCGTATAATACTCGGACGATCGCCCCTCCTGTGCTCCCTCAATGAGCAGTTGATATTTGTTTTTTTTTAAATTTTTTGGGCTGAAGCACGGCAAAGCTGGTGCCGGAGTCCTAAAAACTACCGACGGACCTTTTGTTGCATTATTTATCAACCATTAATGTGTTTCAGTACAATGTTACTGTATTATTACCTTTGTAAAGACAGTGTAAGTTGCCAAGTTTTATTATAGAGGCTTGGTAATTTCTCCAAGGAGGAAGATTGATGTTCTTCTGAAGATTAAGGGTGGAGAAGGGGCAAACCAATAAATTTGGTGCTTTTTTTTTTTTTTAAATGTTAGGTTGGTTTTATTTGTCAATAAAATCAATTTATTCAGATGAATTTTTATGTGATTTGGTAAACAGAATCGAAATTCCATCATGTTAAGTTTGTGAAGTTGTAATTTTTTTTTTTTAATATAAATGGGATATTCAAAGCATTGGATGATGTGCAATGTCTACGACTCTGCGGGTTGTATTTAATTAGGATTTTAAGTGAAATTTTGACGGGTTGTATTTAATTAGGATTTTAAGTGAATTTTTTGACAAGATTTGAAACTTTTTAAGATTTTAATTTAGAGGAATTTTGTGAATTTTTTTAATTAAGAATTCAAGTGACATTCGATAATACTTGAGATTTTTTAAGATTTTCAAATTTTGCAAAAAATTTTGTGAAACATTAAGTTTGGAAGTGGGATTTGAAATAGAATTTCTTATAATTTTTTTTAAAACAAAAAAATTTCATCAAATCCTAAAAAGGCTTAATGAATTTTAGTCTCAAATAAGTTAAATACTGTAGGATTTTTTATAAGACTTTAAAATCTTATGAGGGTTTGATAGAAGAACTTTTTAAGTTTCAAAAATTGACATTTGACAAAAGAAAGAAGGGCTTTTCTACAGTACCTTCTTGTACTTTGGCTTGTACCTACTTAACAACAGGTACCTTTTAAATGAATGTGTCCTTTTTTTAATAAATTAAATAAAAATCGAAAAAAAATTAATGCAAATACCAAAATGCCCTTACTTTAAAAAAAAACCTAATTTACTTAAAAGGTGTTGAACTTTTGTAATATTAACATTTGACCTAAACATAATTATATATCTCAAATAAACAAACAATTAATCCAAAATTTCATTTCGAACGATCTTTTGCAAACAAGAAAACACTCACGATTTTATGATTGGAAAAAGACGTTCTAAGGTTTGACATTTGAAGAAGAACACGAAGGTACATAATTTTTTTTTCTGATTCGATATTTGAAGAACAACATTATGTGAAATTTGTTTTCAATTTCTCGTTCTTCATTTAGATTACTGTCCAATCATGCGGTAATGTGCATCCATGATTTTGTTGTGCATCCGCGAGTTATAAGATACGATGAATGTTGTAATGTGAATTTGTATTTGTTAATATGGATAATTCATTTTTATTGTTTTTTCTCATAAAGAAGCACAATAGATGTTTGACGAAATGTCTGAAGAGACTCTGAAGACGCAAAATCGATGAGCACCAAAATACAGCCTGTCAAAAATTACAACTGAACAAGTTGTTGTTGTTGTTGTTGTTGTTGTTGTTGTTGTTGTTGTTGTTGTTGTTGTTGTTGTTGTTGTTGTTGTTGTCATAAACAATGTTTATGACATGAGTTTGACATTTTAAAATACCATCATGAGCTTTAGTCATAAACAAGGACAATTGCACAAACTATGCTTTAAAATGCAACTTGATAGACATGTGCGATTCTAGAGGTTGGTTGTTGCCATATATTTATTTGGTTGTTTATAAACACACAACATTGATGGTGAACTAGCTGTGTCTTATTGATAAACAAATTTCCCTATCTGTTGTTTAATGTATCGTCATAGTGGAGTTCATGTAAAAGCTTAGCATCAAAATGGATAAAGGAAAACAAGTCATGATAAAGAATGAAAGATCTTTGTTCATTTTTAAATATGAGATTCACTATTTCATTGATATGTTTTCTGCGCAGCTGCTACATTGTGTAGATACAGGTGGCAAGGATCCAACGGTCCTAAACAATGGAGTAGATGAAACCATGATATTAAGTGAAGTTTGTCTCATTAAAACAATAAATTGTTCATTCATTAAGGACCGTAGTTGTTCCTCCATATTTAGTTGTTCATTAAAACTAAAAGCTTCAATAGAAAATAATATAATTGTTCAGACATCAACTTGAAAGACCTTTATTTAGTTCTTATCTGTATGTGATGGTTGGTGTTTATGTTTTTATTGTCTGCAAATGCAGGTGCAGGGTCATGGCACAACATTATAATTGTTTTATCAAGTTCATTTGAGATTTTTCAGATCCTTCAATGGTATGTGTTATTGTGCAAAATGAGTTGTTTTTTTTTTTATTGTTTGTTCTTTACAAGCTGTTAGCAAGTGTTTTTTCGTAAGTATGAGGTCTTTCAATGTTTGTTTTCGCAATAGGTGCTGAATGAAATATCGGAAGATGAATACCGTGATATTGTACCTCTAAGGTGCACTCTGACTACCAAAGAAGGTTGTGTTTATGAAGTAGTTATGAACTACTTGGATAACAGACTCCAATTTGTGGATGGTTGCGGGAGGATTTCATTCACAAAGAAAGAGTTAGGAATGAATTTACTGTTCACTTTGAACGCATCAATGCTTCAAGCTTTAACGTATCTATATGGACGAGAGCTGGTGTGGAAAGAGCGCCGCAATATCGGTTTACGCTTCAGCTAAAGAAAACTCATAATGAACGTGCTCGGCTGGTAATTGCATGTTTTAATTTGTCTAACTTCATCATGGAATTGTTGTGGTAAATGGTCCTTAACAAAATTAATAATGTTGCATTTTGTACAGTTCATTCCCATGGCGTTCTGGAATATGCACATCAAAGATCAAAGGTGTTTTAGAAAGAAAGCGCATCTTCTTACTGACCAGTGTTTTTACCGTTTGGATGTAACTGAAAAGCATGGTAAAAAAGTTAATGGAATATGAGGATGCTCGTCAATTCATCAAACTTAACGAATTGATGGAAGGTTGTTCGTGTTCATTTGTGCTGGTAGGAGGAGATCAACTAGTGTTTAGGATTATTCTGTAGTTGTTGTGACCGGTATAAACTTTTTTGTCTTTGTAAACTAATGAATTAAGCTGTAATTTTATTTGGTGTGTGTTCTGGATAGGAATATGTTTATTCAATTCCATGGAAACTTTTGAATTATGTTGCATAATCCATTGAACATGTTAAAAATTAAGATTAACATGTTACATAATATAATTAGATGAACATGTTGCATATAATAACATGAACATGTTGCATTATGTGATGAATATGCATAATCCATTGATCATGTTAAAATTTAAGATGAACATGTGACATAATATAATAAGATGAACATGTTGCATATACTAAGATGAAATGTTGCATTATGTGATGAATAGTTTGCATAATCCATTGAACATGTTATAATTTAAGATGAACATGTTACATAATATAAAAAGATGAATATGTTGTATAATAAGATGAATATGTTATATAATAAGATGAACATGTTGCATATACTAAGATGAACATGTTGTATTATGTGATGAATAGTTTGCATAATCCATTGGACATGTTAAAATTTAAGATGAACATGTTACATAATATAAAAAGATGAATATGTTATATATAATAAGATGAATATGTTATATAATAAGATGAACATGTTGCATATACTAAGATGAACATGTTGCATTATGTGATGAATAGTTTGCATAATCCATTGGACATGCTAAAATTTAAGATGAACATGTTACATAATATAAAAAGATGAATATGTTGAACATGTTACATAATCAGATGAATATGTTGCATAATCCTTTGAACATGTCAAACATTACGTTGAACATGTTACATTACATAAAAATTAAGATGAATATGTTCTATAATAAGGTGATAATGTTATATATTAAGACGAACATGTTACAAAGTAAGATGAATATGTTTTATAATAAGATGAATACGTTACATACATACATTCATAATAAGATGAACATGTTACATGTACTAAGATGAACATGTTGCATTATGAGATGAATATGTTGCGTAATCCATTGAACATGTTAAAAATTAAGATGAACATGTTACAAGAAAAGATGAAAATGTTGTATACTGATGAATATGTTGTATGAACGTGTAAAATTTTTTGATGAACATGTTATATAATATGATGAATATGTTATATAATAAGATGAAAATAACGGATTGATGGAAGGTTGTTCGTGTTCATTTGTTTTGTTTTCATTGATGCAATGTTATCCAGAATTAGAAGTCAACATTTTGAAATGATATAGGTTTGTACATAATACTGCTGTCAATATGTCACGACGGGCTAAAAAAAACTGATAACTGAAAGAAAAGTAACCTTATGAAACAAGGGCATAGTTGCAGTTGCACCAGGTTAAAAAAGAGTGGCAAAACATGATTTTGTGGGTTTACATAGGACAAATCAGCACTTACAATTCAGGATCTTCTTTATTCACACTGACTTACAAACGTGTGAATGTCTTCAATGCCCTTGTCCTGACTGCCATTTGGAATGCAAAAGTCACTGTCGTTTCCAACTTCAGATTGTGATGGTTTGCTACTCATTGTTTTTAGATGACATGTGGTTGACTTATGCCCGAGGTCCCTGCAAGTAAAATATTACATAAAATTCAGTTCTACAAAAATTAAGCTACTAAAAAATTTGAGTGTATATTTAACAATGTACTTACCCGCATGATTTGCAACTTTGTTTTTTTGCTGGCGGTGCCCCTCTAGATCTAACCCTACGTGGGTCGCCTTTATTAGTTGAACCTCTCGTCGGATCCTTAATATTATTTGATGCGTTTGGGAAATCATTAGTTGAGGTTCCTGTATTGGCTTCTTCATTTCTCTCAAGGTTATCAATTGAACGTCTGACTTTCTTCACACACCTTTCTGTATCGGGCTCATTCTCAGATGCCTTGGAACACATCTCGACTGTCTATTTATACAGTTCATGAAATCTTTTGTTTTGGATCAACGGAAGCAGGCACATAGTGAAACATCTGTCTAAGATTTTTTTCTCGCTAATGTCGTCCACCTATCAAGTATGCATTTGGTTGGCACCTTTTGAACATGCAAGTACTTGAATGCAGTAAATAGATGAATACATAGAATGCCATCTGTTTCCAGCATCTTGCAATCACACTTGAATATGCCTTCATTTATATTCACCTTCACCGACCATTCTCTTTTGGTTGTTGGATCATAATTTTCCATTTGGAAGACATATGACTCCCCATCGTCAGTCCTCTTCTCAATCACAATATTATTTTGCTCACAATCAACCTCCCTTCTAACTTTACCAAAAACCGAGCGTGTATAAAGTCCAAACAGCTGAACAAGAATCCCGTGAAGTGGTGTGACTTGCGGAATATCTTGTGGGTTCATCTTCGATTCTTCCTGCTACTTGAAAAAAGTCGCCCGCAACGACCCCACAATATTATGGAAGTTTTTAAGGAGCTCCGTAATAGTGCTGCCCGATTTTCCCCCTGCTTGAAGAGTGCATTCACGAATTCCGCTCTTTGGGTTGTTCTAGTCATCCCCATGAAATTCCCTCTAAGATAAGCGTCACACCATTGATGTTTCCTTTTATATGTATCTTTCACCCACGTATTGTCTGCCACACCATGTCTGTTTATTTGTAATTCCCATTCAGATTCGAAGTCATTGGGAGTCCAATTCTTCATTATAAACTTCCCAAATATTTTGCAGAAACCGTGGGCCTTCACTCGCTGTGCACAATTTCTCTCAAGATGCAACGCACACAGCCTATGTTTAACTTCGGGGAACACTTTAATTATTGCAGAACGCATAGCATCGTCTTGATCCGTGACAACGGTAGCAGGCATCTTCGATTTCATTGCCGCTAAAAATTTTTTTAGCAACCACAGGTAGGATTCGGATGTCTCATTATGCAGCAAGGCCCCACCAAAAATTGTTGTATTTAGGTGGTTATCTATTTCCAAAAATATGACCAACGGGAATTTGTATGTGTTTGTTTTGTAAGTGCTGTCAAAAATGAGAACGTCACCAAATTGCTCATATGCAGACTGTGAAAACCCATCCGACCAAAAAAATTTGGTCAATCCACCTTCGTCGTCACAAGTTGTCTCCACCACCATCTACGGGTCGTTGATCATTACACCTTGAAGCATAGCAAAAGCAGTCTTAAAATCACCATCACACATCGTATCATTTCTTATCTTCGTCAGGAAGTTGTATGCATCTTTTTTTTTGTGATGTAAACTTCCAGGACCACCTGACATTTCTTGAATATAATTTAACGCCTGACATGGACGAATGCCGGAACCATTCATTAAGGTCAACAAACTTTTATCAGAGTCCGTAATTTGCCTACAATAGAATATATAACCATTATCTTAGACAAAGTTGAAAGCAAAAATTATATTTAAAGTATAATTCTATAAATATTTATTACCTGTTACACTTCAGACGATGTGCTGTTTCAGAACTCTCCAATGGATTTTGAAATTTGTTACCCTGTACAATCCGTCACGGATGTCACGTGCAACACAAAATTTAGCAGGGCAACCACATCTATTGTTTGGTTTTTCCCGTCTAACTCTTTGGTGCCCTTCTGAAATTATCCGTCTGTAACCTGCGTTTGAACACTCCCATTGCTTGTTCTTCACTATTCCATCCTTTGAAGTCTTGCAGCAGCATCGTCGTACATCGAACCCGACATTTCTTGCATAATCAATGTACCATTTTTCTGCAAGTTCCCAAGTTAGGAATTTGTTATTCAGCATTCCATCGTTGCAAACGTTTTGGCACTGATCGGGTGTTTGTTGATCGCTCTCTATATCAAGATTGACACCAGTATCTTCGTGTTTTTCCATTTAGTTGTGTATTCGTAGTACTGTGCCCCAACGAGAATATAGATCGTCTTTCCAAGGGCAATTGTATGTTCGTATGCCACCGTTCGAACTTAAGATGATGAAATATTAGATTAATATATATTTATTTTATTAATAAAGTTTATCGGAATCCAAAATCAGTCTCTTGAAATTCGGACGTGGTATAGTGGATAGTAGTTGGAGATTCATCATCGATATTTAAAGTAAATCTATCTAATGATTTTATTTAATTTGATTGCATGATTTATAATAATATTAGTCGAAAAAAATTAAAAATAATGTTGTCTTTTAATTTTAAACATTTATATTCCATAAACAACATAAACAAGAAAATTGTTTGTTCATATTTTCTACACCTTCGCGCAACCCGTGCGATGTATGAGATGATATATTTTTATAGAATGGTTAACATGTGAAATATTAAAATCTATATATTGTACACAACTTTTGTCCCGTAATCGATATCATGTGCAACACATAAACCCAGCTTTCCATTGCAACCACATCAGTTATTTGTTATAAATATTTATTTGTTTTCCCATTGTAGTCATTTACTTAAATAAATCATTTTATATTTTCCCAAAAAAGGTATGTTTAATCCTTAAGATTAGAATTCAAATAATCTCGTGAACTGCCATGTTATCATTTCATATAAATTTTCCATGACTAATTTTGCTACTTTGCAATCATTCTTATACATGTTTTATTTTTTTATTATTAATTTGGTTTTACCCCATTTGATCAAAATTCAAAAGTAAGCAATTACACATGTTCAATTACGTTTTGTGCCACAAAATATTTTGAAATATTTGCCAACATACCTAACTTAACTAAACAAAGACAAAAAGGTAATAACCACACGAAGCATGGAAGTTTTAAAAAATGACTCATATTTTCCTCACAATTCACGGTAATTTTTAGCTGCAAATGACTGTTCAACATCCATCAGATGGGTCATAATAGTACGTTTTAGCAGACAACTACGAGGCTGCTATATTATAATATCATATTGGTCAAACCCAGTCAAGTTCGAGATCAATTATCGTCTGACCAATGGACACGTAACTCGCTACATATCTTCGTAATTGCTCACTCGTCCTAATCAGAATGTCATAAGTTAAAGATAATTCATCAGGTTCACAACCATAATAAAGAGCCTCAGCCTCTTCGAACTGTTTCTGATACTCAACAAACAATAAGTCTCCGAGGTTTTCCATAGTTACTGTCTTCGAGTCATAGTCATGACCGAAATCGCAGATTTCACAGCCTGAATACCGGCATTAAATGAAGAACCCAACCATAGCCCTACGAAAATACATGCATGCATACAGCATGTTGCAACATTAAAATATTGATTCATAACAATTTAAAGAAATAGTAAACGGTTCAGAAAACGTGTTGCGTACCCTCTTTCAATTTGGATGTATTTGGTTATGTAAAGAGTGGCAGCCAACCTCTTCCTTGCTTCAATAGATTCATCCTTTAAAAAAAAAATAAAAAAATTATTGTAATGTGCAAATTAAACAACACTTGCTAATGACAGTGTCATTACCTCTTTAAGTCCACGCCAAATTAAATTAGTAGATGGAGCGGAATGACATAACATATGGATACACACATAGAGACCACAATCGTATCTGCCGAATAACCAATTAAAATTTAGAAAAAGTACCACACATAGGAAACAATTTCAAATTAATATGTTTTGTCAGTTGCTTTAAACCACTAATGTCCGTACCCATTACGTAGTTGGGGAACATTTGGGTCGATGACATATTTGTACGTGTTGGCAATATTTTTATGAATGAACCCATCCCCATCCCACGCAGCGATAATCCCCTCCAGTCGCATTATCTAGTCACGGATAATTTAACATTAGCATTAGCATTACTAAACATATGGTCTGTTACAAATGAATCATAACCAACAAAATAACTCTTACCACTTTCTTCGCCTGTTCAATCCTCGACTTATGTGTACCTTCTGAACGTACGATATCGCATATTCGAACAACAGATCTTTTAATATCAACAATACAAATGTACCAGTACAAACTGAAATCCGACATCGGCAACATTATACTAACACATGCTTCCGCACGACCGTTGAATACTCTATCTCGAAAGAACCTTTTATGAATCGAGTCGTCGTTGTGCAACGTCTCAGCCATACCCTACAATGATCAGACATTGATAGGCTACATTGGAGAATTATTAAAATGATAATTTGTCTCAGACTGAAAGATGCCGGTAAAACCCAGTTGCGTTTATTACTATCTTCTGGGGTCCGATTCAATGACACATGCAGGGCAACCAAATCAATGACCTACACAGAGAATGAACTACATATGAATCTATTTAAACTTGTGCAACAATAAAAAAAAACAAATTTATGAAAATTTTCGCACCGGGCTTCTCAACCAGTGTGGATATTCAATGGTTAACGTATCTGCTTTAGTTTATCATCCAACCTTCATACTCGACCAACATTTGGCTGAACAAAAACACTTGTCACACAGTATTGTAAATGCAATGCTGCCGTTTAGATTTGAAAGGAAATGTTATATATATATGTCAAATCCAAATCCATAATATGCAAGGGTGCCGTTTGCTTACGAAACATCTGTCTTATTAGTGAAAACGTACTTGTCCGCATTCATATCCATAATCGTTATTTCTTGAAAATATTGAAAGATGTCTTTTCCCGTGTTGCATTTATATGGCGAACAAGCATCGATATCAAATTCCATGGGTTTCATTTTCTCGTCAAACGATTCTTCTGAGGCACCCTTCTGCCGAGCCATCCTATCTGCTCCATTTTCAGTTCCCATTTTATTGTCATCTTCTCCATTTTTAGTTCCCAATATATTGTCATATTCTCCACAATTAACAAGTCTATTCTGATTACCTTTCAGGAAATATGTTATGCCAGATACCGTCTGATTAACAATCGTTAAATGCTCAATGATCTTGTTTGTTACATCTGAAAATGTGGTTGAGTCACGTTGAACATGATCCTTGGAGACGCTTTCATCCATCATCATTCTATCCCACTGCTTAATAACTTTCCAATTCTGAAATAAATTAAAAAAACAAAAAAAAACAAAGATTAAATTATTAATATGATAATGGTCAGTTAATAAAATTTCATGCAAACAAATTAAATCCACATGTGTACTTACAAAATTCTTATCATAACCTCCCATTTGCTTAAACACCTCAATTGCTCTAGAAATATCTTGCTGGCTCCATTGTTCTAAAAAAGGGATCTAGTATGCAATTGTTTTCCGACAATTTGGAATGATCTCGTCACATAACCAAGGAAAACCACCTACAATTGTATAAAATAAAGTTTACAATATATGTTATGCAACCATATATTAAATAACATATGATGCATATAACGTTAGTGTACCTGCAGTAATAGAATACATCCCGTGAAGTACGCTTTATTATTGCATTGCACTGACGTAGTTCCCTCATCTAACTTGCGCAGAATTATTTCACACCAATTGTATTCTTGGACAACATTTAAATCAACCAAGTAGTTTAGAAAATCATAGTCCATATTTGTATCACTATCCCGTGGAAACAACACCGTGGCGAAAAGCAACATCAAATAAGGAACTGTGAATTCAGTCCCGTTCGTCTTGCAATTGGTCACCATATTATGAAGCTCTGGAAATCCAAAGAATTGTCCTTATTTCCCACAAAATAAATTACCGTACTTGATTCTACCATTGACAGTTTTAGATTTTACCATTCCTTCACTTGAAAGACTGAAATGTTTCTCCACAACACCGGGTGACAGAATAATTTTCGTACCTCCGAACATAATAGTTCTTGATATGGGATCATAATTTTTAACCAAGATAGCCACCAACTTTGAATCAATTTGTGAAACGTTCATACGCGATAATGAACCAAATCCAACCTTGTCTAAATCACGGCGCTGGGCAGGAGTCAAGTTTTTATTGATCTTGAGCAGTGTCGCTAGTTTTGTTATTTGAAAGAAAACTAAGTCATCCCTTGAATAACCTGGTGCTTTGATAACTTATTTTCTTCTTCTTCTGGAACGACTAACAAGTGTAGCCTTCAATTTGAAATTTAATTTAAGTGAATATTAAAACATTTACACGAAATATGAATCTCATTACGGAAGCAAATAATATGAATTAGCCAACGATAAAAATTACCTCTTGAAAATCAGTCATTTCTTTGAAAAGTCCCACCTACTACGTTTGGTAATTGCTCCACCTATGTATACGAGTATGGCGTTCCCTTTGTTTAAGATGAAGATGGAGGTTATTTTTTTAATATGGAGGTATATTTTTCTCTACCTAGTGAGCAGCGTGGATAGGGTGACTTATTTTTTCGTGTGTCCGTTGAGATCTTTTAGGTTAATTGATAGGGGGTTATTTTTTCGCGTATCCGTTGAGATCTTTTAGGTTAATTATCAATTACGTATCTCGATATCCATGCTTTCAATTCAATACATAAGAAATAAATTACCGTAATTAATGAAAATGTCAATATATTTTGAATATATTAGTAGTAGTTGATATATAAATGTAATTATGAAATTTAGTAAATTTGCATTTGAGAGTGTATATTTGGGCAAGATTTGTTATTGTTGAAAAAAAATTAAAAAAAAAATGATGTTGAGCATATTTATTTTATGACAAAAAAAAACATTTGTTTTCTTTCATAAATTTTATTTTCAATTATCAAAATTTTCACTAGTATACTACTTGTGGTCTACACGGGTTTGTTGTTAAAATAATCAAATGTACAATAAAACTTTAATATATATATATATATATATATATATATATATATATATATATATATATACTTGTACGTACCCCGTGCAATGCACGGCACATAGATATTAAATTAGCTATTTTGACAACCTTGTTCGTTTAAGTCTAAAAAATAATAGGGTTATTATCTTTTCTACATATTAT